AATAATGCATTCTCAAACAAATTGGACTCGATTTTTTCAAGCAGAGGCAAACAACCTTGCTCTAGTTTTTGCTCGTACGAAAATTCTATACAATTTGAAGAAAATGTCGAGTATTGTTTGCAGTTTCCTTCATCTCAATCCTGAGAAAATCACGTAATCCATCTCTCGTTATGCGTCTGTCCTCGCGCTTGTTAAAGACGTACGGAACCTCTCCTTCAACTGTTTCGCCAACTAACAACTTGTACCCCCATTGTAGCTAGCAAGACGTCGGTTCTTGCACTCGAGAAGAATAGCTTGCAGCCTCGACGAACTGTGTAATTTGGAACTTCCTTCGTTAATTCCCGTTCTCCTCGTCGGACTATCGGTTAAGGTCGCGTCTTCCGACGAATAACAGGCTAATCTGGCGAACAATAGTCGTAATTATCCGCGCCAGAGAAAGCCTCGTATCCGCGTCCGCGCCTCCTCCTGCCCCTCCTAACCCTTTCCGCACGAAGCCCCCTCCCACTGATCCGCCCGGCGATACGGCCGAATTATGCGTGTTTTTCGGGAAACATACACACGGCTAATGAGCCTTAAAAACGGCTCCGGGCGCATCGCGGCCCGAAACGGCCCCCTTGAACTTTACGGGCCACGTCGCACGGAATGCGGAATGCAGGGGGCGGTGAAGCAACCTGCAGCAGGGTCCGCAAGGCTCCCTGCGGCCCAGGGGTGACCAACGGCCAGCCTTCGCCTGAGATGTTTGGAGCGTTAGTAGAGCAAGGTTGTCATATTTTATTTCGAGCATTGAAATATTCTGTGCCCAACAAAAGTATGGGTGAGTGAAATATGTGTGAGATTAACGTGTATATTGTGGTATTCCTGGAATGGAATGTGCTCGTGGAGTATGAAGAATTTTGACTCATGGTATACACGTTTATGGGTTGTCTTGATAGATATCGCTGTTAATTTATCCGGGTGTTAATAAAATGTGCTTTGAGACATTACCATTCATTGAAGAGGTGTCTAAATTGGCCAGCAAATAATTTGTTAAAGGTCAAAATGTAATGTAAAATTAATTTAATGAATTTCAGAAACATATATCAAATCTCTTAAATATCGTCTGAATTTCGCCACTATAAATATTTTTCGTTCTTGAAATATATTCTTGGAAAATGTAAGAATGTGCCAAGAAAGGTTCTTCCGTCTCCATATAAAATATTCGTGACGTATTAATGAACTTAATCTCGTACATATTTGTATGCTCTTGTACATTTTCCACTTTACCTGGTGCGCTCAAGTTTACAAACTCGTGTGCCACAAACCTAATACTACCCGTTTTGGATTTGGGGAGGAAGATTTATTATTATAATATGATCGCGCAACAAATCTATCAAGAAACATTGATAGAATGTTAATGAAAATGAAAAGTTACTTTCTGGAAGTGGAGTGTGAAATCTTGCATAGAAGACTTGACGGTTTTGAGTAAGTGTCGTTTTTTATTGTAGCTGATATCATAATATATATTCGTTGATCAATTTCATTCCTTTTATGATACGAATAATAATAATAATAATAATAATTAATAATAGTTAGGTCGGTCCCATGTCGCAGACGATTGCGGCAGGCGTCGTCTGCGTCGAGGAGGCTGGGGAGTCCTGCGTTGACATGGTTGTATTTGTGATTGTCCCTTCACCCCTCAACAACGTTGTCGTACTGAGAGATACAGCTGAAACGTTGATCCGAGAAAAATTACACATATTAATCATGAATTTTTGTCAGTCGTGGCCAATACGTCAATAATATTAATTATTATAATTTTAATAATCTGCCAGTAACAGTATGTGTTAAAACCACACCTCAACTTCCATTTCCACATTTCCGTTCTATATCTAAAATATTCTACAAATGAGTATGCTTACGAATTCAACTACAATTTATCTTGAACCAGATGGTTTCACAAATCAGAACCTTGGTGGGCCGCAAGAATGCGTAAGTCGGGGCCCCATCGGCTTTTTATCGGCACTCGTCTCCAAAGACATGCAGCGTGGCAAGTGGCGCTGAAAGTTCACCCCTGTTCTCAAACGCGGGGACGGATGCAGTGTTCGGGATGGGAGTAGGGCGGGTGAGGGGTGGGAGGGGGGAGAGGGTGCGAGGGGCGACTGCCCCGCAGGCGCTCGCGCATTTCCCCTGTCCTCGCCCTCGCCGTCCTCGCCCGCGCCGTCGCGATGCGTGTCACGTTGCGCCCTTGTTCCGGGCTAAGCGCCCTCCTCCTCCCCCCCCCCTTCCGCGGGCCGATTCTAACCCTTGCTGTTTCGCCCGCCCTTGTTCGAGCTGGCTTTCTACGTTTTCACCCCTCAGCACGCGTTGTTGTGCTAATTTTGTTTTTGTTTTTTCACGGACAGATTTTGGTGTAGCAACGTTAGAGAAAATTTAAAACAAACTTTTCAAATACGTCTTTTTATGAGGAATATAAAATATCTATTCACTTGAAAAAATAGTTTTATTTGTCTGATTTTCGAACCTCTTAAATTTTAATCCTCCCCTATTTCGCTTATTTGTTACTTCCAATGGATGATTAGTGGAGTACTTAGAAAAACTTTAGGGATAGCGTAGAATTTTCTGGAATATATTTTGTTCTTCCTTAGAACTCTGTCTTGAACGCAGACATGAATTCGTCTTACACATTATTAAAATTTCCCGGTAAGACCATCATATATCTCGTTGTAAGCAAAATCGTCATTCTGGGTACGCACTTCAGTTGAGATGGCCACGGACCTCGCTCTTCTGCACATGTTGTTCCTCCAGCACAAGGCTCAGGAAATGGCTAGGCGAAAGAAGCTACGCATTTGTAGCTCAGTACGTAATATTCAAACAAAAACAAATATTATAACTTCAAAATGGCATGTTCAAATCATCCTCACTCTCATTCATGTTTTACGTAAATTCGGAACAAGTCTACGGTCCATAAGCTGTGCTCTGAGATAATGACCAACTACTATATTTGCGGAGTGACACTACATTGGAGTATACTGTACATGACAGAAGCGACAACCTCATTGTCACGTCCTCCATCACCACCGATTTTGCTGCCGTTAACCCTGTCGCCACTTTCCCCTCGAATTCTTTGCTTAACACCTGTGATTGATCTATTTGCTGTAGGAATGATCAGCACAACTTTGAACTGGTTACCTTCATATTTTCTTCAATTTTCTGTATTTCCTTCATTTGTTTTTCTTCTCCGCGACATAAATATATTGATGGCGCGCTCACTTGGTTGCATATTAACCACCCAGCAGATTGCTACCCGAATTTGAAAATCACATAATACAAATTCAAAATCTGTTTTGTAAATTATACATTTGTTAACTTAATATAAAGTAGGCAATCGAATCCAATAGAAATAAGTAGTAGAAGTAGATGCATTTTAACCTTATAAGACGTATTTCTAATTTATTTTCGTACTCATTTTGATTACTGATATAGAATCTTTCACAATTATTAAATAAAGATCATATCAAAGCACCCAATGATCTTCTTCATCACGGTCTCAGCATATCTCCCATTACCACAACTTTAAACTCTCCGCCCTCAAGTTTGACCACAAAATTTCTTCAATCTCACTAGCCCGCCACTTCCAATTAGGGAAGCAAACCCCAAACAAAATACGTACCCGCTGGAAACTACCCAGTCACTTTTTTGATCTATTCTAAACCCCTCGCACATACAACGTCTCTAAATAATTCTAAGATAATAGTGACTTCTAAATGTAACTCAACTCAATAACTGTAACGAATGTATTCAAACCCTTTGCAAAAGAACCTGTACACCAGAAAGCAAATATTGTTTCAATATTAGAGAACCACTGTTTCGTCATACTCAGAGCCTGTTAAGATGATTGTCTGACCCTGCTAAGAGATCGATATATTTACGTCACCTTCTTCCCCCAACGCGGTGGACTCCTCCAGGAGTAGCGTGGTCGGCGCGAGCTCCGCCACCGAGCCAGCAACCGCGCACTGCGCAACCTTTAATATCGCGTCAGGGGTGCGTCACGAACCTTCCATAATTGCATTAACCTCCGCGTGTAATGTTATGTAATATCCCGTTAAACCTCAAGTATTTCATTACACCCAATTATGCGTGCACTTGTGAAGAAACGCGAAACAAACGTTATTAACCCAGCTTCCGCCACCGGATATGAATCCACTTCACTTTATTGGAGTTTGCCCGTCTTGTACTTCCGAGGGGAGTTGACACATTCTCTTATAATCCTGCCTGGGTAAGAAGTTCACGTAATTTCTGACTAATTTTGCGGTCACGTAATATCCTGTACAGGGCTCAGTAGGCAGGATACAAGTGGGTGGATGTTAAAATTAAACTGAGTTTTGTGCCCGCGAAGAAGGGTTTGTATTGCCGTTTGTTGTGTACACAGGTGTAGAGCTTTCATCTTTTTAATGTGTTTTTTTATTCAGAAAAGTGTATGGTGATATATAAGTTATTTTAAATCATTTAATTGGCATTGGAACAAACAAAATATGCGCCGTATCTTACTTATCTAAAATTGTCCCACTCTATTTTTGCTCCTTGTTTTTCTCTCCTTTCTTTTCTGGTTGTTTTTATTATTCAATTGTTTGCTAAATGAATGACGAATTTGTCTGTGTATCGTTTCCTGCCACAACGTCGACGGTAAACTTGGTTAACTTAAAGTGGAAAGCCTGCCTGGTGTGTCAGTATGACATTTAAATATATTTTTAAACATTTTAATGATATTTTTGTGTATTTATAATTAACAAGCGAATCAATAAAAACATAATTTTACACATGATGAATGTAATAAATAGTTGGATATCAAGTTCTTAAGCGTATAATGAATTCATTAGAAGTTTAATTTTTATTCAGCAATATTTAATGCCAATTCTGGAAAATTCCCTTTCTGCCCTGCGTTGTGACAGCGGATACAGCCGGATCCCTTCACAAACGCTGTGAATGCGCATTGCATTGTATCCTTCGCTTTGTGTTCGCAGGTCGCGCGGCCATCACTACACCCCTGAGGAGGAGCCCAAGTCGTGCTGCGGCGTCGTGGTCACGCAAACGGTGTCCATCCGCTGGTTCATCGTGATGATCGCTTTCGTCGGCATCTGCTGCGCCGTCGTCGGCACCGTGCTGGGCGCCATGAAGGCCTCGGGCCGAGAGCACCTCACCGTCTCCCTGCTCATGATCGGTGAGTCACGTGTCCGAGCACCCGTCCCTAAAAGAGCTGACTGACGTTCCAAGCTCTTTTGAGGATCCATACCTTCTCCGCGCACAAATTGGCGAGACGCTTGGTACGTCGCAGTCTCCCTGCTCATGATCGGTGAGTCACGTGTCCGAGAACCCGTCCCTAAAAGAGCTGACTGACTATCCAAGCTCTTTTGAGGATCCATACCTTCTCCGCGCACAAATTGGCGAGACGTTTGCGCTCCTCACCGTCAATACTATGTAAAGAAAAATATACAAAATAATTGTCAACAATCCCGCCACCTTGTTGGACGCTTATACGCTCGGAGAATATATTCGGCAATCGTAAAGATATCCAAATTGTGACCACGTTACTGAGTAACAATGCATTTTAATAATTAACTTTGTTCAAAGAAAGAAGAACCGGGTTCGAGTCCCTGTCGGGGCAACCAATTAATTGAACAAATTTAATTATTTCAAGAAAATTATCCCTAACTTAAGATATTAAAAAATTAAGAAGTTGAGAAGAACTCGATGAAGCTTAAAATCACATACATTAACGTTTCTTTTGCTGAATCATGAGCTTTTAACTGGCTTTATTATTTGTGTATAGTTTAACTATTTTATTGGCAAACGCCAAATTTGATGTACGTTCAAGTATTACGGGAATAGCATCGACATTTCTTTTTGAAATTAACAATTTATTCGACCTGACCATGTTCGCCACGTGAATATTATTTCTGAGTTAAGGGAAGTACCTTTTGAAAGTAATATGTATTTATACTGCACTATTGACTATATTAAATATTTCTTGAAATGAAAAAAGTTGAAAATATTGAAATTTTCACCGAATTATGTTGATTTACACAATTTATTTCCTTAACAGATTATGAAATTCTATTCTAAATTTGGAGGAAAATATATTTCTTGTGGCCTGTATTTCTATTAAATATGAGAGAAAAGCAAACTTATACATATTTTTGTTACATATAAGACGAAATGATCGCTTTTTATTATTTTTACACAATTATAAAATCAAATATTACAAAAGTTGCAAATATAGAATGATAACTGATACTTTTACATTGAATATTTGAAGTAATCTGTATTGTACTGTGGTATGGAACTTATTTTAAGAATTTATTTCAAATGATATATAATTATTGTGCGCAGATAATACGGATTTCTAAACCAAGTGCATTATAGTAAGATAATATCTCATTAAAACACTAGTGTACTTCAATTTCAATTTCTTAAGTTCATTTGTTCTGAAATGTCGAAGAGTGAATCATTTTTAAGGGTCGTGCTCTATCCCACGGAGTCCTTGCGTGCCGGAAAGCCATCTCGTGTTGGGAAAACGAGAGCTTTCGATATATCTGGTTTAGAAACCGCAATTCCAAGAGCAAAGACAAAGAACACGGTCCATAACTCTCCAGCAGGAAATGGTCTCTGGGGCTACATGGCGTAATTAATTGACCTTCTCTCGCCCGTAGCTCGAACCGCCTCGCAAAAACTTCCTCCCTGTTTCTGCAAGCCAACTCAGTGAGATGCGATTCCTCTTCGATCCTCCAGTGTCACAAATTACTATCAGAACTTATTACCTCTATTATGACCCCCTGTGTGTGCGATCTGTCGCTTCGAAGAGAAAAACATCATCCTGTCTTCCACTGTTGATAATGCCGCTTACTACGTTCGAATAACTGATAAAATGTGGAGCGTCTTCATCACTGTTTTATTGATGCGTCAGTCCGAAGGGGAACTTGAGTTCACCTCCTCCGAAGTCATTGTACACTCCGAAATCACGTTTGTGCTAAGTTATTCACCCTCTTCAGTGTTGTCTTAATGAAACCGTTCGTCTGCTCCCTGCTGTGAAGCAGTCTGCTTCAAACCGCTTGGGCACTGTTGAACAGTGCAAAACGCTTCCAAGGGAGTCGGGCGTAGCTCTTCTCTTTAACCATTTTTCTTTTCATTTCTTCCCGTGACAGTCCCTGCGCGGGACAGCCTCCGCCACCCCCAATTCCTCCCCCCCCCTGGCCCTGCGAGCCGTCCGCTCGTCCGCCATTGTATTACATTATCTGGCCACGTCGCTTCTAGATCCCTCTACCTTCCTATAGAGTATATACCCTGTTACTGGCCCTAATCCTGTCCTTCTCTTTAATTCCCCATCCCCCGCTCTATCTCCGCACGGCCGCTTCTTCTCCCTTCCCCCTCCCCTCCCCTCCTCTTCCCTCCCTTTCCTTTTACTCCTCTTATTATTTTCCGTTTCACTGAAGCCCACCCGACACGCCGCACTCTGGCAGAATTTCAATGGTTCGTTTCTAGATGTGTCGCCCCGGATTAATCCAATAACGACACCGGTCTGGGAGGGGATTAATGCGTCGGCACGTGTAAATATGCAAAGGAACGGAATTGTAAAGCTGGTACGACCTATGAATTCATATCGGCGGTAAAGCTTATATAAAGGGGTTTTCAAAGAAATAAGGGCATTGTAATCTAAAGGTGTTGTAAAGAATTTGTTTCAAATGGTTACGTTCATGAAAGTTCTTGATATTGTTCACGCTTTCATTAAAACCTTTGTAATAACACTCAATTTTGAAGTGTTCTAATTTACCAGTGAATACACAAGAACTCTTCCTTTCCTGCGGACAGTATTGCCGTTCATTTGAGAAAGAATATCTCAACAATGCGGTTCTCCTTAAAAACGTATCGTGATTTATTTCTGTTATATGCAATTGTACCGTAAGATCTGTCGACGAAAGAGAGCGCATGTAGATGTAGGATGACACTACGAAAGTCAATCTATTATGAGGTATTTAAATTTGCAAGATTCTTTGTTTTATTTTTCCTGGGCACTATTATTCCAGTGTTTTATTGCATGCCGTTAACTTTACACTAGCAAGAGAGGGAATTAAAGAGAAGCTCTTAGATGTTTCTGCTTTCAAAGAGCGTCTTAAATGTTGCATAAAAGCAGCGGACGTGTTAATGCTACAGCGATGGTGCTGATTATTTTCATTTACATTTTTTTCACATTGCATCATCCAAGCTTAAAAGGGTTCTGACAAGAAACAATGAAGATGAAGAAGAATATATTAAGGGAAATACTTGGTGGACCTCTAGTTTGTATTAAGAGCATTGCAAATGAATGTACTACGAGTACATGACTATTTCTCGTGCACCTCTTTGGCTTCTTTGGCTGGCGTCGCGGATTGCCAGCGAGTGGGTGGGAAACAAATGCAACCTGCAGGCAGTAGGGAGGTGGGGAGGGTTTGGGGGTGGTGCAGGAGGAGGGAGAGCGGATGCGAGGTTGCAGAGCTGCCGGTAACTGGGATTCGTCGTGAGACACTGGGTAAACTCTACCTGGCTCTATAGTTAGTGTCGAATATTCTACCACTGTCGGAAGTCGAACCTTAAGACCTCCGTGTCAGAGGCAAGAGGACACGGCTGATGTGTTTCGAAACCGTTTTATTCATAGAGCTACTGTCACTGACTCTTGTATTCTTTACTCGGCCAATAAAAACAGCTCGGGTAATACCGGTAAGTATCTCCACCGCGAATTGGCTCCTTTTCCTCTACTCTGCATCGGGGAACGCGCCCGCTGTGCAGTGGGCCGCGCGGGGTGCAGAGCTGCTGACCAGGCGCGCGAGAGGTTCGCGGCGGCGCCGCTAGGAGCGTTGCAGGTCGGCTGCGGCCGTATGCAAATAAAGGGGAAAGGCGCAGACGGGCGGAATAATTGTGTTAGTCCACGCCGGTTGCAGGGTAGACAATGACACTGCGCGTGCGGCTGTCTTTAAACCCCCGGATAACTGCCTCGTTTGTTGAATCCGCCTTCCCCCCTCCCAGGAATATGGACGTCGGAGGCAGATGCCTAGCGACGAGCAAATGTGACGAGCGAGTTATGCGGCTCGAATTCCCGTACTGTAATTCAAACTCTCAGAACAGATGTAATCAAGTCTCTGGATGTGTGCGACATGGAAAACTTCAAACGATTCTGTACAAGTATTTAATTTGGATATAAATTCCTGGTACACACAGTTTCGTATTTCGTTGGTGTCAAATTTTGTCGATGGCTTTACACTTTTTGTTTATGGTTTGTTGTATTAATCCCAACCTTCTGAAGACAGATAAACTGCGCATATTGGACCATTAGCACTAATAACAGCCCCGTGGGTACACGCTACGTATCCGTTTCAGGATCCTCTCCTAAAACGGGCACGTTACCTTTATGCATATTTTTGTATCATAAATAAACACCCCGCATTGCGCTTTGTGACCATTGCAACCGTGCACATTATCTCTCTTGTTTTGTTTTATTTTTTGTCTCGTGCGTGCGAATGCATGCCAAATTGTACGTAATAAAGGTAGGGACCAGAGTGGTGATGATCCCACGGTCGACAGTCGATTAGTTCGGAAACTACATCGTAATTCGTCTGGAATTGACTGTAGTAGACCACGGAAATAATCGTTAAAACCGCTTCCTCCCCCAATCACTGGACGCCGTCTGGAGGAGAATTCTAGAAGCCGGCTGTTCTGATCGGTAGTTTTCCGTGGTTTCTCCGATCAACACCAGGCGAAAGCCGGAGCAGTACCCTACCAAACGGGCCACGGACCGAGCGCGATCTTTCCTACCTCTCTTTTGTCATATCTTCTCGCCTTATATACACACTCACACACACACACGCACTACATGCACACGTGCTGGGAGCTTAGAGCTTGCCCCGGGTGGGGCGGTGCCCCGCTGGTGGGAGATACCTGGTTGGGGAAACCCCTGCTATCCGACGGAGGTCGGTGCCTGAACACGCCATACGGTGAGGGATAGATCAGCGCCACATAGTGACCGAAAACATGCACTACGCTTACGGTACCAATGAACCTGTTTAGTTGACGTGTCGGGAATCAGTAAAACAATCAATCAAAACTCAAGCACTGGGTTCTTTCTCACAGTTACTAATCGATGTCGAAAATTCACCCAGCCGAGGTTCCCAAGAAACTTTCCAAGAAGCTGGA